TTTCCCCTCTAAGTTTCCTCAGCAGTTCCTTGTCTGATTCATAGATTCCGTCTTTGCTATCTATGGTAATCCAGTTCACACGAAACCAGGCCACGGACCTTTTATGAATCTTCATTGGTAAGGACTCTAAATGGATATTGAATGAGACATTAAACCAAGAATTTATGGAGCTCTTCAGATGCTTCTCATGCTGTTGTATGAAGAATGAGTCTTCTGTAGCTTTAGTGTTTATGTTAGGAGATGGGGAGAGTCAGTTATGGCTTAATGAATTACTAAGGGACCCTGTGTCTTCATTCAGTTGCCCCCCAAACTGGCTTCTGGTGTATTGTTGGCTTTCTTGAAATGAAAACTGAACTTCATTCATGGTAGGTAGGTGCCAGACTTTAGGTAGTGAGAGAGCATTTCATGTTGGTTGTAGAACCAAGAAAATGGTTAGAAATTAGGTTGTAGAGGTTGTGATAGGAAAGGATTGATCAAACTCATGACAAAGCTGCACAGGTTTTCATACTCATATCACCTAGGATGTTTATTGATAACTTCCATCAAACTGCAAATTGAGAGAAAGGGCGCCTTTAGAAAGTCTGGCCAGAGGAGTAGAGCAATGACAGGGAAACCTGTTTTGGAAATGGGCAACCTGTAGTAAAGCTGTAGGAAAAAACCCCATGTAAGTATGGATAACTTATGATTGACAGAGAGCTGGAGGGCTTGCAAATACTAGCTTCCTGTTTCCAGCAGAAAATCTATTTTTACATTTAAATGGGAGGAATAGAAGAGGAAATTAATGGCTTCCTAATACCATTCTTCACTGTAACCAACTTCACTGATTCCCTTGGGATCTATGGAGTAATGAATTGGGAGGCAGGAGACCCACTCAATCTGTTAAAACAAGATTGTGTTATTTAAGAAAAAAAATAAATTAGTTCTGCTTGAAGGCATATAACCTTAAAAAACAACAAGCAAATATATTTTCCTGTTCATTGCTTGGGTCTGTTAGCATTTTCATCATCCATTGAGTTTATACTAAAAGCTTTTCAAAAAAGCCATCTGTGCAAAGATGTGATGTTTATGATTGCTATATAGTAATACCTCACTAGTCAAATTATGCATCCTTCTTTATGAACCCTGCTTCTAATTTCATTGTTTAAAATGCTTTAACACTAATGTTACTTCAAACAGTGATCACTTTTTCATGAGGTAAGGGCTTCCTGGAAATGAGGCACGCACTAGAAAAAGTGTTGTGCATATAGCACTGATTTGGGTAGCTGGGAGACCGTATTCAATTTACTGCTCCCAAGCACACAGACTTGCTCTTCATTATTGCTGGATGGTGATGATTTTTTTCAAATAGCTTTAGACTTCAGATTCAGATTTAAATTTAGACTTCAGCAATTGAGCTTGTACATCTTCCACCAAAATAAAACCTAACAAAGTTGCACATAAATTTGCCCAGCAGGTGCTAATTGTATTAAATATTTCTAAATAAATTACAGACTTCACAATTTGATAGGAGCGCCATGTTTGTGTGAAGTTATTCTTCATAATAAATGACGTGATTGGAATTTTACTTCTGCTCATGTTATAGCATGTTCCTTTTAGAAAAACACCTACGCCTGAAGAAAGAGAGCAACTTTAAAATTTTCAGACAGAGGAGGAATGAAATAGTAAAACAAGTGCTTGTTTGTTTTTCTAGATGTGGCGGATGACTATAATAGAATTGGTTCTTCATTATATGCATTAGGAACGCAGGACTCCACAGATATATGCAAGTAAGATATTGTTAATAACTTACGGGGGAATTTGCTAAGTAGCAGACTTAGTGGTGACCTGCTGGGATCAGTAGTTCTTTTGTTATGAGAAAACCAGAATTTATTATGGTTGTATCACATGAAGAGATTTTCTTCTGTAGTATTTATTTTCTGTAATAGGCTGCTTTAAATACTTTTGCTTTACTATTTGGGGTGAAAAAAATGCTGGTTTTTGCATTTTGTAGAAAACAACACAGATGAGATGGAAAAGTCCTCATAGAATAAGAAAAAAAACTGAAAACTCTCACTGGATTTTTTTTCCTAAGTGTTTTAAGTGCTCTGACATGTGGAGCAATAACAGGTCTTGGGCTGAGTACACAGATTTTTGTGGGTGTTCCCTGCACTAACATCTTGAAAAGTAGTTTTGCTGTTCTGGCATTTTTACTGCCTTTCAGAAAAGAAAGGAATCTACAGAAATCCCTAAAACTCTGAAAATAGAAGAGGGTCTCTAAGTACATATGTTTGTCCTTTTATCTTTCAGTGATTTACTTGAATATGAACTTTGATGCATCCGAAAGTAAAACTTAGTTAACTAGCTGAAAGATCCTGATGCTTGGAAACGTGTACTCTTAGTAGAATCAGTGTGATGACAGATAGGAGATTGGTATGAAAGATAACTTATTTTCAGTAATTTACCTGAATTACAGTGATACAGTTCCAGATCTGGTGATAGCTTACATACCAATTACTTTGATGATAGTATTGAAATTTGATGGAGTCTGTTAGGAATTGTGTCTGACTTATATCGAAACAGTATGATTTGACTGTAATTGAGTCTGCTGTTACACTGAATCCTTGTGTTGTCTCCTGTGATACCGATGTGCCACATTGCTGCTCAGCCTTCCTGAATTCCAGGTTGGGTATGCGTCATGTTTACTGTGTGCAGAAAAGTACATTCAAATCTAAGTGAAGGATGCTTGATAATAGCATAGGACTGTTAATCAGTGTGGTGGTGGTAGGGGTTTCATTTACAAAAGCATAAAGAATCCCTGAGGAGCTGTGCAATTATTCTTTAGTAAAAACCATCCATCCCTTATGCTTTTTGTCCCTTATCTTTTCTTAAGTTGTACGATTCTCAGATGTTTGAATTACTACTATTTGAAACTGTTATGTTCTCCGAGTTCTGTGAATTACAATTCTAAGCAGTGCCTTTACAGACTTTATTGCCAGACACAGATTATGTTTTGAGTCTAGCAAGTAATTAGACTGTTCAAATTAATGTTGTAATATAAGCTGTTTCCTTTGTGCAGGTTTTTTCTGAAGGTATCAGAGTTATTTGACAAAACAAGGGTATGTACTATGAAACTTTTTAAGATACATTCTTTGTGTACATCCTGCAAGTGACAGGACATCATGTGTAAACTAGGCATTAATATGTAGATGTTTTATGGATGATTCTATCTGAAGCATTTAAGCAGCGTATGGTAGCGAGTGAAAACGTGTAAGATTTCAGTCATCTATTTTGTAAGATGATTGATCCTTAGGAGTCTTCAGACTACTACACATCTCTAAGCAGTCTTCCTATCTTCTATGTAATATACCAGTAAAGCTGCTGTTCCTTTAAAATGCTTCAGTACTTTTTACTGGTTTCAATACTTGTTACTGGGTTATGACAGAACTTGCTATGGAAATAAAAATACCAGGAATGTAATCCTTAATCAAAAAAATGGTGGTCTTGCTGCTTTTTTTCTGGAGCCAAGACCTGTTTCTGCAATTATTTCACTCAGGAATACTGTTGCTGATGCTCCTAACTAGATTTTTCAAATATTTATTTTGCCTTATTTGTTTGGCTTGGTAGAGCAGAAGATGCATGCCATGTATCAGGAAAATTTCAAATGAAAAATGTGCGTGTTTTCTAAACACAGACAGTTGTACTTGCATAAATACATACTTTAAAGAAAATGAAGTTAACGGAATTACTTGCGTTGACCTAAAATGTTGCCTTTTTGATTTTTTTTTTAAATTAAGACTTAAAAAATGTGTTTGCAGACTCAGTTTCTAAATTCACAGAACTGTGTTTCAAGTACAAGCAAATAAATGGTCCAAGAGACCAATAAACTTAATACGCACAGTTACACAACTAGTCTGCAAAGGTGCCTTAAAACTTTGTTTTCTGTTGATCTTGAAAATGGCACAACTTCTTGTGCAACTCTTTTTATACTAGGTAAGTTTTTGTTTCTCTGCTGTCTTTCTAGTATTTGATACATACAATTGAAATTTGGGAGAAAGCACTGGTTAAAATAGAAAGCTAGTTGTTAATTACTGCTCGTATGGTTGATTATTGCTTACATTTTAATACAAAATCCTAATACTGCCTCTCAAGATGCATCTTTTAAGTATTCTGGCACAAATACATCATGTTGGTGTTTGAAAAAGACCATCTGTCATGTACTGTTGTATACTTTATGTTTTATTTACATCATACAAGTGAATACCCAAAGTCTGGATGTTTTTAAATTGATGCTTTTACTTATTGTTTTTCCAGAAAATAGAGGCCCGGGTATCTGCTGATGAAGACCTTAAACTTTCTGATCTTTTGAAATACTACCTAAGGGAATCTCAAGCTGCTAAGGTGAATTTATGGGCTTTTGTTCAGTGCAATAGTATTTATTTTTTAAAAAAAAAAGGGGGGGGGTTAGAGATAAGGTACTTACTGTGTATTTTCTTGAGAAATACACAGGAGATAGGTTAAAATGCTGCCACCTCTAGCCTGCAATGTATCCCTCAAGTGTAAAATCTGGATCTGCATTGTATGTAAGGAGTAACAATTCATTTGCTCACTGTGGGACTGACTGTTTGGAACTGTGTGATCCACTTATCAAGGTCAAATTGTGCAGTATGATTAAAACGAGTGGAAGAGCTGTTGGTGAATTTTTCATGGGTTTGCACTGTATTTGCTGCTTGTAGACTGTAAGCAATTTTTTTTTTTCATATTAAAATTGCATGCTCCAGATGATCTGCAAGTGCTGATACAAAAAAACGTGGGCCAAATTTAATATTCTATACCTACAGAAAATTTTATTCTTAATGTTATTTGACGTAAGGTTATTAAGTAACATGACAGAATGAGGAAGCATTTGACAGAAAATGTGTGTAGTTAGAAGATCAGAGCAGTAACTGTTGCACAAAAATTCCTACTGCTATTTCTTGGGCCCTGTGTATATTTCAAAGACATAATCTAAATGTAGTTGGTTTCTAATCTAAGAAGCTGTGAAATTTCTTGTGATTGCCCTTTCTTAGGCTTTTTGGAGTATCATCTAAGACATCTGTTGCTAGTCTCTGTCAGACAAGGTGCAGACCGAATAATACTGATGTTGCATGTCTGATCCAGTAAGGACATTGTTGTGCCTTGCAGGATGAAGTAATGTGAATGCACATAATTCAGTAGGAACTGAAATACAGCAAGAAAGACTAAAATTAATCTGATATTTATATATGTATACACACAAACACATATATATTCAGTATATACTAAAATCCTTGGGTAGATTCTTATAAACTCTATGCAACCTCTATGTGCTTTTTTTTTAAATAGGATCTCTTATATAGAAGATCTAGGTCACTAGTGGATTATGAAAATGCTAATAAGGCATTGGATAAAGCAAGAGCAAAAAATAAAGATGTACTGCAAGCTGAAACTACTCAGCAAATATGCTGTCAGAAGTTTGAGAAAATTTCTGAATCTGCAAAACAAGGTATTTGGGTGGTCTTTGATTGTATGTTACTACTTGAAAATTAACATTTTAGAATATGGTTAGTGAGAATAAATTTTTGTTCTGTTCGAAGCAGAGCTATTATCTTTCAATCATTATTTACTTATCTTGGGAAGCTGAAATGAATATTTTCCTTTGGCTCCTCATAGCTCCATTAGGCAGAGTAAAGTCTACGTGCAGATTATTTATTGACCACTTTTTTTTTTTTTTTAATATATATATGCATAGGATAGGATATAAAATCATAGTTGCTAGCAATAATGGCAAACCTAATCTTTTAATGTATTGTTGAAATTCCCCTTCTGCTTTTATGCATTCTACTGTGAAGGCAGCAGTCTGTCATGGAGATAACACTACATTAGAAAAGGGAAAGACATGAAATGAGATTTCACTGAAGTTGCAGACTTACAGTAGCTCTAGAGAAAAGGAACCTTATTTACATGTTGCCCTTTTCCTGAAAAGTTATTCTTTGTTTTTTTTTAGGCTGAAATTGTTGTGACTTAGTAGTCATCTAAGTCATTATTTTTGGCAGATTTGTTCAAGGCTTAAACATCATGCTCTCCTGTTTTTATCATTTAAGAGTTGTTTGACCCTGTAAATCCATTTAATGATTCCTTTAAATGAGACAGTGGAGAATGAGTGATCCTGTTAGCCACAAAAGTATATGCATAAAGCATACATGCTAATTTTAGCTTAGTATCTTCCCTAAAGATTTTCACATACAGCCTTGAAAGAACAGTGCACATGGAATAAGAGAATTAAATGTTTAAAAGCACCCACATTGCAGTCTTTTTTCAAAAGAGCTTTGTGTCCACAAAAGATTAGCTAGAGATGAGGAACTGCAAATATGGTTTGCTTTCATCCGACAGGATAGCAGTATCTTTGAGCCTGGAATGTGCTTGGGTTTTTTCCCTTTTGCCTTCTCTCACCCTTTAACTATCCATCCCAAAAAAAGTCTGTCAACAGTTGAGGGCACTAGCTTAATACTGTAGGTGAATACATTTTTATTTTCTACAGAACTGATAGACTTTAAGACAAGAAGAGTTGCAGCATTCAGAAAAAATCTGGTGGAACTAGCAGAACTGGAATTAAAGCATGCTAAGGTAATTGTGATCCTTTTTGGCCAGTATTTAAATTGATTTTAAATATTCTATGCTTGAATAACCAAATGGTTACATTTATTGCCTGATATACACTTAACTTTCAGGAAGGAGAATTCAGAAAGGTGAACTCTATTGAATAAGGGGGGACGGTGGGGAAATACATAAGTGAAATATCTCTGAGGGACTGGTGTGCTTGAGGTGCCTTTGGAAAACTCATCTCCTTGAAGACAATTTTGGCTTCAGTTTTATGTTTCTCTAGCTGTTTGATATTTATAGCGGCAAAGTTTGAATACTTGCCTATTTTTAAAACCCCATCTTGCCCATTTTACTGTGAGATAGGAAGTGGTTTCTCCTGTTATCCAGATGTTGGGGACTTGATGTATAGGATAAGCAAACTATTAAGTATGAGATCACACAGGAATGTCTGAAGTCAGATCACTGTTACTCTATGGTTTTTGAACCTTTTTGCCTTTAAGCTATGAAATGTTAACAAAAGGGGAATGCCTTTTCAGTAAAAGAAATTTTTGCAGGAAAAAACCCAAGGGGTATGTACTGTTCTTAAATTTCATAATATATTTGATTCTTTTAATCCATATGAAATTATTGGTTTTGGTTAAATTGAGTTAACTGCTCTGATTTCATGGACAAGTACAACAGTCTGTTACTTTAACAGTCTTATACCAGGAGGCAGCTTTCTTTTAAAAGTAAGTTCTTTAGCATTTCTCATTCTTACCACAATCTGAAAGTGTGTTGACTACCAAGCTTTGAATTAACTCACAATGTATCTGTTGAAAGGACTAGGTAAGAGTCTGTAGTGTTGCTGAGTTAACTTGTTATAGCTTCACACTCCTTTCAGTAATGGTGGTGGTATCATTCTTCATTCTGCCAAACCCATTGTTTGTAAAACTAATGCACTATAAAAAGGGTTGTTTTGGGGACTTCTTTGATCTTTGTAAGTCTAAGTTCAGCTTGATGGGATATTTAGCTGGTAATCAGTAAGGTCTGGAATACTCTAAGCCCTGTTCATCTGAGAAAGGAATAATGTGCTGTGTCAGAAATTCTGCTATATTTCCCCTAAAGATTTAAAATTTCTCACAATACTTGGCACTGTTCAGCCTTCCTACTTCTCTGTGTGTAACAGCTGTCTTTATCCAGCCCTGAGTCTTCCAGAAATCCCCATGTCTGGTCATGAATGTACCAGTTAGGTATTTTCGTGAAATTCATAGTACTAACAGTCATACTTGAAACAGTTTTTATTGATCTGTTGTATCATGCTTTAATAAGGGAATGAATCCACACCGCTTCTGTCTTAATTCAGTTACTGATTCTTCATCATCTCTTGTAACTAACCCTTGACAAAGTCCCCATGTGCCCTGAAGTAGAACGCTTTAAAAATGTCTGTATCTTCTAAATTATCCTTAAAGAATCATTGTATTAACCTCCTGTGCAAGTCAAAATCTTGTAGCAATGTTCTCTTGAATTTTGACAGCCAATAACTGCAGAAGGCAGAAGGGAAACGCTTAATTTTTGTAGCTTTCAACTTAGTTGATACATGCTTCCTGGTGTCCTTAGTTTACCTGGAAAAGCTTGAATTTTTTTAGCTGTTCATTTGTCACCACAGTCCATGCTTTAGATGGAGTTCTTTAGGTAGTCTGTCTCAGTCTTTACTTTGTCTTAGTAAATTTACTAACAAGGAGTATGTAAGGCTGTAATAGAAGCTTTGAACTGTAGTCCTGGTTTTGAAGGTGAACTTTTTCTTTTTACTGACTCTTTTCACCTACTTTGTTGTGGAGCACTGTAAGATTCACTAGACAGTTTTGAATATTTAAAGCTTTACAATATAAAAGGCCATTTAGACTAAAAGTGACACTTTCTGAAATGTTAACAAATGTTGAATGAAAAGATACTTTGTTTCTCACTACGTTTGAAAATTCTGGTTTTTTCCAAGCCTGTGTTTCATATTTGTTCAAGGCAGGCTAATAGAGATGGATCACTTTGGTTGCTGTGCTTTTGTTTCTACAGATTCAGAGTTGAATTATTACAGAATTTACAAGTGCAATAGATCATATTTTTCAATTTTATATAATGGGAGATTTTCTTATTAATGCTATAACCAGTGTATTTGAGCACAGTCTTATGGATAGGTTTTTATTAGTCAGTACAGACTACTGAAGGATAAAATGGTTTGATGGAGACTTCCTGAGGTAGATCCATGAAAGGAAGAAAGAAGATATGAAAAGACTTGTGGTTTATTTTGAGGTAGTGCATTGTGCCCTGATGTGTGAAGAGCAATGTTAGGGGAATATGAAAGTTTCTCCTTGTCCCAGAGAGGGCATTTTGTTGCAGTGCGAATCATGACTAGTGTTCCTACTGAAAAGAAGCTAAGTGACCCTGGTTTTGGCTGGGCTAAGCTGGGGTGTTTGTAGACACCCGATTCCTCTTGCAGTAGAGTCAATAGAGGGCTGGTAGAAGCAAAAAGAAAGCTACTTTTTCATGTAGGTAACAAATTAAGGCAGTCAGATCAAAAGCCCTTTGCTTTTAAGCTTCTGGACAAAAGACTGCCTGATGCTGTGGCAGTCCCTGTCTTCATGCTTTTGCAGCTGTTGGAGGCAGGTGAAGTTTTAGCAACCCCAAACTAGAAAGTGCTTGTCTTGTCAATGGCATGTGAAGCGCAGCACCCCCAGGCTTTGCAGCATGACCTGTTACACAGGTCTAAGTGCTCTTTCCAGCAAAAATTATAACTGGTGAGCAGGGGCTGGGTGCACCAGATAACACTGCTGCAAGTTTTCACTGCAAGTCTTCTGTTGTTGTTTTGTTGTTGTTTTTTTGATGGAACAAGTACCTCCAGACTGGATGTCATGGAGAGCCATTTGTCTTTGAAGCAGTCTAGCTTCTGGGCTTGGAGTTGCCTGACACAGAAAGCATGGAGGTGAAATCTGATGCAGCAGTGGGTGCTGGAACTCACCGGAGAGGCTGTTCTTGGGGAAGAACTCACTCACAATGACGGCTACTTCATGACTTACTGTTAAAAGTTATTTGCTCTGTGCAGAAAGAACACAAATCCCAAAACAGATTGCTGCACTGAAAAAGTCAGAATGACCAAAGTATTGGCAGAAGTTTCAGAGACACAGCTTGCATTTGCTGAGCTGTATCTGGCTGTGTAGCTCTGGAAGACTGGAGCGTGATAGGGAAATCAAGCTGTTAGTAAATCAAGGACACTGTATATACAAATAGCACACTCTCTCTGCCCAGTTATGTTTATACAACTTCCTTACAAAATATTTGCTTTTAATCTGCTAATACCTTGTTGTCCTTTCCTGATGGTGGCTCCAGCCTTCTAAAGAAGCTAAAAATCAGACTGTGGGTTGACATTGCTCTAAGTTGATGCAAGTGCAGACTACTGCCAGGAAGGATGATGATGATGCATGACTCTGTTCCTTTCACTTATGCTGGAACCATTATGTGTGCAGCTGTGTAGTAAGATGGAGCTAAAAGTTGCTCTGGGTTTTTGTGAGCTTTACTTTCAGTCTTGTTTTCACAGCATCCCTTGTGTCAGAACACAGTTTTGGCTGAGAGGGTCTAGGATTAAAAGTCAGCTGCCTTCTTAGCAGCAGCGTGTACCCTAGATTTACTTAAAGTAGCTACCAAACTGCAGCTTCAGGTTCAGCTTGGTCTCTGACCTATACTAAACAGATTGATGTTTCTTTTTCTATGGCTGTTCTGTCTGATTATCCCCCTAGGTAGTGTTTAGTTTCTGCTTTGCTAGCTCTGTGTTTCTTTATGGCTTCATGCAGCTGTAGCTAATGTAAGACATGATTAAGTGTTTGGGTGTTTAGTGCAAAAGCTGCATTTAAACCTATTCAGTATTTTAAGTGGTTGGATTTTGGGGAATTCCTGTGTTGGACTTCATGTTCAAGAAGGGAGGTTTAATAGATGGTGAAACTGCTAAGGCTTAAAGTATTTGTGGCCATACATTTAGAATCTTTTGACATATGAATTGTAACGGAGTAAAATAGCCACTTCCCTCAAATAAAAAATTCTAAGCATCTCTTTCCACAAATATTAGTATGTATGCTCTTGCCTCTGTGGGTTTTTTTGGAAAAAGAATTTGTTGTGTTACACTAGCAACAGATGTCTGTTTGGAACTGACAGAAGAATAGAGTAAGCAAAATCCAATGCTAAGGGATTTGGTTAAATGCTTTGTCAGTAATTCTTTCTTTCCGGAAAAGGATGTTTCTGTCACAATGGTTCTGCCAACAACTGTAATATCTAGAGAATAGGAGACAAGTTGGCAAGAAACACTTTTCTAGAAGAGTCTGAATTTATAGGACTTTCTTGAACTATGTGATAGAAGTCAAGTATATCAGATTTTGCAGCCAGAAAGAGTAACGGCTCACAGCCTCTACTGTGCTTGATTTATTTCAATTTAAATAAGGTTGTTCTTGTGAACTTGGTACATTTGATCTAATGAAAATGAATGATGTGCCTGTTTGGAAAATTTCAGTAGACTGGCTGGCTGAGTCTGGAAATGACTTACATGTAAAGGATGTCTTGGTACCGTCTTTTCTTTAGGGTGCTACATAGTGGCCTGTGAATTGCAAATGCACTTCCTGCTGCTGCTGAGCTGTAAAGAGATGGCCGAAAGATTACTGTCACACTTTTGTTATAGGCAACTTGCGTGCAGTCCACAAGTGTACTTCAGACCAAAGTATTCCTTCCATTTGAAGACTGAAGACTGAAGTATTCCTTTTTATTCATTACAGCCAATAATCGGCGTCTGTAAGGGAAGCCTTAGATTTATGAATCATCTACACAACAAAGATGGGCCACCGAGTCCCCATGCATTTCACGTACATTGAACTTGTTCATATCACAGAAGCTGTTGAAGCCATAGCTGAAACTGCTATCTTCTGGATAAGACTAAAAAGGATTCAGTAGGCACAACTGGGAATCTTCTGCTTTGAAGCCTTTAATTTAGTTAATTGCTTAATCTGGATTATGGGAACCTTAATGGGGAATAGAATTACTATTTCTTACCTTTCGGGCTGAGGGACAAGTGTCCTTCACTACCACAAATCATTTGGAATGCTTTCAACTGAAAAAGTAAGAATTACAAATTCTTTAGTGCTTGCGTAGACTGTTTATCAAGGCCTTGTGAATCATAGCTACTGATACTGTTTAATGACACACTTCGGTCTGTTTGAAGTTTCGGATCCAAAACATTTTTAGAAGGAAACCGTTTCTCCTCTGTGCGTAACTGGGTTGTTACCGTATCTGGACTGTTCATTCAGACTGTTTTGTTCCTGCATTTTATCTGAACCTGATAGGAATTACTCTTCACACTGTCAACAACCCAACACTGTTGCTTACACAGAGATTTCAGATTTGGGAACAAATGTGCTACAGCTATTTCATAAAGTGATCTAAGCATAAATGAATGCATGAAACAATGTGAATACCTGGTTGGGAGGGTTGTGGGCTTTTTTTTTTTTAGGGGGTGTTTTTTTTTGGGGGTAGGGTTGGGGTTTTTTTTCAGTTGGTTAGGTTTTGTGTTGAGGGGGGGTGGTTGGTTGGTGGTTTTTCCTGGAAAATAAATCCTGGCATACTTGTCAATCACATTTGCTTGATCAACGAGGGTATCTTTTTAAGTGTCAGTTCTGTAAATTCATTCAGAAATCTGAAAGTCAGCCTGTATGTTTTTATGGTAGAGTCAGAATGCTTTAAACAAGATTAAAAACTGACCTACAGGTGTTTGAAAAAAAGGACAGAACTTGGCCTTAGAGATAAAGTGTAGTTAAGGTTCTGATAATCACATGTAGCTCCGGCTCTAATGGCTAAGCTCAACTTTGATGGCTAAATCACCTGGCTGAGCATGTAAATCAGTCTATCTTTCAAACAAGGCCTGTCCTTGAACATAGCTATGAGCTTAGATGGCTTCCCTAGTGAGGAGATCCTGAGTGCTGTGAATTGGTTAATGCTTCTTGGTGAATTCAGTATAACATATGAAGACTTCTGCTTTGGGAATAATACTCAAGTGACAGAGTAATGGCAATAGTATGTAAAACATGAAGACTTTGTAACTTTGAACTTCATTGCTAAGAGAGTGCTCTGCAGTCACTAGTTTTGGTGACAGGACTAGATCTTTAGGAAGAAACATGGAAATGCTTGTTTTTGAATCTCAAAGTGGCTCCATTTAATTCCAAGACACATTTAATTCCAAGACACAGTGCTGCTCTGTTCCAGAAACTCTTTAAGATAAAAGTTACCTGCACAAATATTTCTACATAAACTTAATACCTGTCAGTTCTCCTTTAGCAGTGTTGTTGCTATTTAAAACCCATCTTTTTCGTCACAAGTGTAAAAAAAGTAGGGAAATGTGGTCACATTTTCCTTTATTTTTACAGGGTAACTTACAGCTGCTGCAGAGCTGCCTGGCAGTGTTAAATGGTGACACATAAGCTACGCTCTGTCCTCCCACTGACAAGGGCTGCCCTCCTCTGGATTTTGTTTTCATGACTTCAAATAGGCATTTACAGTTCCCTGGAGAAACATTTGACAAAGTGCATATAAGCAAGCTCCTCCTTTCAGAAGAATTAAACAAACTCATGAAAGTAGCTCCAGACTATATGAAGCAACAGCATACTTGTTATACATACATATTCATGTTTATTTAATCATTATATGCTTTCATTGTTCAGAAACCAAATGCTTGTTTTTGTGAAAATAGCCAATATAATTATGTTCATGTTATGAATACTATGATACGGCTGCCAATCTTATTTACCTTTGTAAGTACTTTCTGAAGTTAACCATTTGAAGCAAATTTTTCAAATGGCCTAAATATTACCATTAGATATTTGAATATTGTTACTATAATGGCATTGTATACACTGTCTTAGTTTGTTGGGTTTTTTTTTTCCATGTACTGATATCAAGAAACTTAATCTTTTTTTCAATTGTGAACATTTCTTAGAAATTTTGGAGAACTTTGTGTAACCTTTATAATTATGATTTAAAAAGAAAAGCAAATGCATTAGTATGTTTGCCTTAACTTGTAGACTAATCCAATTATTGTAAAATAAACCATGAAATTGATTTTTCTAAAATTATGCAGACACGGTATCATCTGTAAGCTTAACATTTTGTCGTAAATCAGATTAATTAGCTTTTTCTCTATTCATCCTGTATAACCATTGAGCAAGTATTGGATTGGTCTGACACTACTCGCCCAGTAATTTTTCACTTGCATTCTCAGGTTTATCTGTTTGTCTGTGACTTTCCTATTGAGTGTACTTAAATTGTTTTGAGCTGGTGGCTGACTCTGCAATTTCTTTGGCAGAATTTCTTTGGCTTTGCAGAGAACTTCTTGGGTTTCTTTCCAGAAAGGAGAAATAAACTGGCAGAAGGGAGTTCAGAAACTGGGTAAAGTATCAATGAAAGGTAATACTGCCCCACTTTGGTACAGGTAAGGAGCTTTGCTTCAGAACAGAAGTGAAGGTATCTCCAGTAAAGCAGTGCCTGGAAAGAATCTCATTCTGCTAACTGGACTTAAAGCTATCAATCTGGTTTTATCTGTTGTATTGCTTTGTCTCTCTTACTTGAACCATGAAACTTTTCCAAGAGGTGCTGTTCTGTTGTGTAATTTCGGGATGTCGTAAAATTAGGCTTTATTGATGAATTGCTCTTCACAGCGGGATTCCTGCTTTATATGGGTTTGTAGACATTCGACGGAGCAGCAGAATTTTGGGTGAATGGGATGTTTGGAGGTGCAGATCCATGTAAGTCAATGTGTCTGTGATTACAGGCTCCCTGTACTGCCGCACAGAGGTGTGCGGTTTGGGGGTTTTTGTGTTGTTTTTTTTCCTCAGCAGGGTGAGCTGCACAGTGTAGTGTACTTACCCTGCTGCCTTGTGCATCAGAGAGGTTCAAAGGCAGAGACGTTTCTTAACTGAACATGCTGTTTGCCTTGTGTCGGGTTGTGTACGCATAGCCTCAGGCTTTGATTACCAGTGCCCAACGGCTATTAGCAACTCACCTGCTATATATAGTGTTTTCCAGCAATCGCTACTACAATAATACTGTGCTGTTCATTCTTCCAAATATAACAGGTATAATTCCTAAGGAACTCATCTATAAATAGACTATAAGGGACAAAGACTACAATGTACATACAGTTAACAAAATTGTAAATATTTTAAGTAGGATGTGGGAACAGTTTTTAGATTAGTCCTCGCTGTTCAGTGTTACTGGCTCATTAAATCTTTTTCAAGCCTCTTGGTATCGGGTGTGTCTCTTAAAGCCC